GTATTGACACAGTGGCTGTGGCGATGGGCTCAGGTATAGCAGGGATCATGGAGCTGGCGTGGGACTGGGTGGTATTTAGCTCTGCTGTGCATGGGGTCACTATGAGTCGGAGACAACTTGACGGCATCTAACAACAACAACAACTGTAAATAGTGTTTACTTCCTTATTTCCTTTACAGAGACCTCTTTGCTTATGTAGAGGAATCCAACTGATTTTTGTATGTTGATCTTGTATCCTGCCACTATGCTAAATCTCTCAATTAGTTTCAGTAGATTTTTTGCTGATTCTCTTGGGTTTTCTATGTATAGGATTGTATCATCAGCAAATAGGGATAGTTTTATTTCTTCCTTACCAATTTGGATGCCTTTGATCTCTTTTTCTAGCCTTAAGGCCCTGGCTAGGATTTCCAATACAATGTTGAATAGAAGTGGTGATAGCGGGCATCCTTGTCTGGTTCCTGTTTGTAAGGGGAATGGTTTCAGTCTCTCTCCATTGAGATTGATATTAGCTGTTCGTTTTGCATACATGCCCTTTATTATGTTGAGGAATTTCCCTTCTATTCCTATTTTTCTGAGAGTTTCTGTCAGGAATGGGTATTGAACTTTATCAAATGCCTTTTCTTCATCTATTGGTATGATCATGTTCTTCTCTTTACTTACGTGATGGATGATGTTGATTGTTTTTCTAATGTTGAACCATCCAGTCATACCTGGTATGACTCCCACTTGGTCATGATGTGTTAGTATTTGATATGTCATTGGAGTCTGTTGGCTAGGGTTTTGGTAAAGGTGTTTGCATCTCTATTCATGAGGGATATTGGTCTGTAGTTATTCTAGTGGTATCTTTGCTTGGTTTTGGTATCAGGGTTAGGCTTGCTTCATAAAACGAATTTAGGAGGATTCCATCCTTTTCTGTTCTGGAATAGTTTTGAGCAGGATTGGTATCAGTTCTTCTCTGAATGTTTTGTAGAATTCTCCAGTGAAACTATCTGGGCCAGGACTTTTTTTCTGTTGGCAATTTTTCATGACCTGTTCAATTTCTTCTGTTATGTGTTTGTTCAAGTTTTCTACCTCCATACTTCAGTAATGTGTTTCTAGAAACCTGTCCATTTTAGGTTTCCAGATTTGTTGGAGTACAGTTCTTCATAGCATCCTGATACTATTCTTTTTATTTATGTTGCTTCTGTTGTGATGTCACCTCTTTTGTTTCTTACTCATGGTATGTGCATCTTCTTCTTTTCCTTTGTTCAGTTTGTCAATGGCTCGTCAACTTTATTAAACTTTTCAAAGAACCAACTTCTCGTCTCATTGATTTTTCTATCTATTTTCTACTTCATTTATTTCTGCTTGATTCATTATTCCTTTTCTTCTTGTGACTGTAGGGTTTTTCTTTTTCTGCCCTCTTTCTAATTGTTGGAGATGTTGGGTTAAGGTGTTGATTTTGGCTCTTTTGTCTTTTTTGCTATAAATTGTCCTCTGGTCACTGCTTTTTGCTGTGTCCCAAAGATTTTGGTATGTTGTGCTTTCATTGTTATTTGATTCAAGGAATTTTTTAATTTCATTTTTTACTTCTACTATGCAATCATTTTTGAGGAGGGTGTTGTTCAGTTTCCATGCATTTGCTCTTTTTTCTGTTGGTCTTCCTAGTGCTGTCTTCTAATGTTATAGCACTGTGATCTGAGAAGATGCTTTGCAGTATGTCAACATTTTTAAATTTATTAAGGCTTGGTTTGTGGCCTAACATATGGTCTATCCTTGAGAATGTTCCATGTGCACTGGAAAAGAATGTATATTGTGCTGTTGTTGGGTGAAGTGCTCTGTAGATGTCGATAAGGTCAAGTTGGTGGATTGTATTGTTCAGCTCTTCTGCATCTTTGTTGAGTTTCTTTCCAGTTGTTCTATTTTTCATTGAAAGTAGTGTATAAAGTCTCCCACTATGACTGTGGAGTCATCTATTTGTCTTTTCAGTTCCTTTAAAGTCTCATTTATGTATTTTGGGGTTTCATTGGGTGTGTAGATATTTATTATTGTTGTGTCCTCCTGTTCAATTGATCCTTCAGTCATTATATAATGTCCTTCCTTGTCTCTGATAGTCGTTTTTGTCTTAAAGTCTTTCTTATCAGAAATTAGTATTGCCACTCTTGCCCTTTCTTGGTTGCCATTTGCTTGGTATATCTTTTCCCAACCTTTGATTTTTAGTCTATTTTTGTCCTTGTTCTAAGGTGTGTCTCTTTTAGACAGCATATTGATGAGTTACATTTTCTTATCCAGTCTGAAATTTTCCGTCTCTTGAGTGGTGCATTTAATTCATTGACAGTTGGTATATAGACAAGTATGAATTTATTGATGTCATTTTGTTATTTTTTTCATGGTGTCCCTTATTTCTTTGTTCCATATAATCCTCTGTGCTGAGCTTGTTTTGTTTATGAATCTTGTTATCATCTTCTTCATTTGTTTTAGTATTTGCTAAGTATTTGTCCTTCTCCTCTTTTTTATTTTGATGCAAAAGTTTGTTATTTTTCTTTGAGGTTACCCTGTGATTTATAATTTTCTTCCCAAGGTTAGAAAAGTCCATTCTATCTTGCAATTGTCTTGACTTCCTCACCATTCAGAAGCTCTGTAACTAAACTATTTATTCCCTCTTTTTTGTTTGTACTTGTCCTCATTCACCGATTGACATCTCTGGCTCCCTCTTGACAGTCTTGTCACCTTATTTGACTTTGTATACATCTATAACTGGTTGGTTTTGGGTTATATCACCACACACATGCTTTTCAAATGCACATAGGAACATTCACAAAGACTGGCCACATGCTGGGCCTTAAAATAAGTCTTAATAAAATGAAAAGGTTTACACCTACAGAGCATGGTCTCTAAGTACAACAGAACAAAGTTAGAAATTATTATCAAAAAGATACACAACATGTGAATCGTGCCCAATTCCAAATATTTCTAGGTTTTAGAGCAAGGACATACCTACAAATAACTTACTGGTCAAAGAAGTATTCAAACAGAGCTTGGAGCTGAACAATGGGAACACAACTTATCAATATTTGTAATAGAGCTGCTGCAATGCTCAAAGAAAAGGGTATAGCTTTAAAAAAAAAAAAATTATTGTGATTTGGGTGAGTTTACAGAGTAAATTCACTTTCCATACAGCACCTCACATACATTTTGTCTCATGACATTGATTGCAATTTCCCACAATGCAACAGCTCCTCTCCCACTTCCTCCTCATAGTTATCTCTGCCCTGTGTCCTTCCCTCCCATGCACTCCTGTCCCCCGAGCTGTCTCCCTGTGCATAAACAGCCCTTTTATTCTCCCATGATTCATCTCTCCAAGGAGTGTATCTACCTGATGTAAATGTTCAGCTCATATGCCTGTCTTTTGTTTGGCTGGAAGCCACAGGAGAGGGTTTAATTCCAAACCTGAAGAGCAGCTAGGGACTATAGTCTCAGGGGTTCCATCAGGCTCATCAGACCAGCAAACCTGGTCCCCCTCCATTTTTTCCAGTAATTTTGAGTTTTGTTCTACATTGTTCTCCCAGAATAGTGTATAGCTTTAAGATTTATATTGGAAAAAACAAAAGGTCTCAACTCATTGACCTAAGATGCCACCTCAGGCATCCAGGAAACCAATTAAACCAAGTAAAGAGAAGACAGGAAATAAGAGTGGGGATGTAACACAATCAAGAAAACAAACACCAGAAAAGCAGCAACACTTTGCTTCTCTGGGGCAGTTCCACTCTGTTCTCCAGAGGTGCTGTGAGTCGAGATCGACCACAGCAGTGGGTTTGCCTCAAGAGCACTTCTCAACACTGACCTCCTCCCTGGTCCAGAACACGCACCACGCCCCACCCCCCAGGTATCTGCAATAGCCTTCTACTTGGTCCCCTACCCCCAATTCATCCTTGAGATGTCAAACAGATTTCAAAAGCCGTATCAGGCCCTACTTAATATCATATCTTGGCTCCCACTGCCCAAGAGATTAAGATCCAAGCTCCTCACCTGGCCCCTGAGGTCTCCTCTACCTCTTAGCCTCAGCCCTGGCCATGTTTTCTGACCCCAATCCCACACTGCAGACACAGAGCTTCTCATCATGCCTAGGACAGGCCCCAGGAACACCCTCCTAGCCCCGCCTCCACACCTGGCAGATCCTGGCCTGGTTGAGAGGCACCCCCCATGTGCCCATCTGTCCCTTCAGAGTCACGATTCTCAAGAGAACCTGTGTTTGGATGGTCCTAACAGAGAGTGTGTGCACAAATGCAGGTGGGCCGGCTGTCTTGGCCACATCCCCAGCTCCTGGCACCTGGCCTGCCACCCCATGCACGCTTTCAAGTGTCTTTAGAATGAAAGCCCTGTGGTGAGTGGACCGGTGGAAAGCCATCTGTGGACCTGGCTGGTCTTTTCAGTGGGGCTTAGAGGGTAAGGAATGAGTCAGTGACAACTAGACACTGAAAGGCAAACGGATGCCACAGGTGTCCATCATCACACCACCCCAAGGGCCACTGAGCCCTGCCCCGCCCACTCCACTCTGTCCAGCCTCCCGCCCAGGAAGCCCTACCTGGCCCGGCCCCCTCCCTGACACTGGCTCTCAAGGCACAAGGATCTGGACACTTACCCCAGGGTCTGTGCCCCCAGGCCTGGGGGAGGAAAGGTGAGGCCGTGACAAGAGGTCTGGGGATCAGGAGAGGGTTCCCGCCAAGGAGGCACTGAAGAAGCAGGAAGTGATGATGTAACCCCAACAGGTTGCCATGGGGCAAAGTCTGCTGGAAGGGGCAGGGAGACGTGTACACACCCAGACCTGCCAGGCTAGATCTGCCCAGGCCCCGGCCACCTGAGGGCAGGGCAGGGGCCTCATCTTCACACTGCAGTACAGGCGCCGTGCACGTCCTTCCAGGGCCAGGACTCCGAGGGCAATGCCCATGAGTGCAGCCAGGAGCGTGGACGTGGGGCAACACTGTGAGTGCGGCCAGAGCCCTGTCATCACCCGATCTCACCCTGACCAGAGTGCAGAAAGGCCAGCCATGACTCAGGGTCCCACAGGCCTGGCTGGGAGGGCGCCTCCTGGGAACAGAAGTAGGTCCCAAATGCCCCAGGAAGGGTCTCCATCGTCTGATGGTTGGTGCTAAACCACACCTGGCAGGTGTCTAGTGGCCAAAGGACACTGGATGGCCTCACAGGCCAAGAGGCTGATGGTGGGAGGGCTGGGGGCTGGCGAGCACTGGCCACTTCTCAGTGTCCCCAGAACCCCACTTCCCCCGGCCCCAGTCACAGCTGCCTTCCCCTAAGGGCTGTTTTCATTTCTGGTGGCTGCAGCCCTGCCCCAGCTCCACCTGACCTGGCTGGGGGAGGGTCAGCAGACGTGCCTCGGTGTCTGCCGAGCCCCAGGGACCCCTCAGCTCAAGGACCCACAGGGAAGCGACAGGAACCCTGCTCACCTCCGGAGGCCGGGGGACAGGGGCAGCTGGCAGCATTTTACTCTCAGGGCCTGTCTGGAGGAGCCCCAGCCACCCTGTTTGGAGGGGTGGGGCTGTCAGGGGTGCCCCACAGGGGCACTTGGGCTTTTGGGCTTTCACGTAAGCCAGCGGTACCAGGGACTGATTGGTTGGTTGAGGGACCGGCAGAGCAAACAGGGAGGGTCCCAGGAGGCTGAGGCTGAGGCTGAGCTGGCCAGTCGAGGGCGCCCTCTGGAGGCTTCCTGGGGGCCCGGCAGCTGGTGGCCCTGGGCAGAGGGAGCAGCGTCTCCGTGGCCTCCCGGCCCGTGAGCCCACCTCAGAGCCAGCTCCTCCGGGGAGCGCAGGCAAGGCGGCAAGGCTACAGACCACGGGCAGGCCCCAGTGTGTCCCAGGGCAGCCCGAGGGGTCAGGCGGAGGCCGAGGTCCTCCCCAGACTCAGCCAGGGCACCCACATCCCCGCATCCGACCAGCCATCGGGACAGACAGCACAGGGCAATTTGCAGGTAACTGTTGCCTCTTGGTGCCATGTAGGAAGGACGGAGTCAGCAAGGCCTCCAGGAGTGGAGGAGAGTTCTGCCGATTGAGTGACATGTGATATGTGACACCTGCTGGCGCTTACTCGGCCCCATGCAGGATAGGCCAGGCCACATCCACTTGGAGAGCCCAGCCTGGTGGCCAAGGCCTGCATGCCTTCAGACTGTTCCCTGGGAGAGCCCACCTGCTCCCCTCCCCGGTAAGCCTCTGTGGAGTGAGCCTCTCTGGAACCGAGGAGTTGGGGCTGTGGGACTCGGAGCTGGCCAGGACCTTAACACTGGGGCCCCAGGTCCAGGGTGTGAGCTGTGCAGACAAGAGAGCTCCGAGGGCCGTGTCTGGCGCTCTACCACAGTGGCAGACCTGGCGTCCACAGCCAAGGTCAGCCCCCCCCCCCCCGCCAGAACCAGAACCTGGATGGGACGGGGCCACTGGCTGGGGCCCTGAAGACTTCACTCCCACCTGTGAACGGATGCATGGGGCCCACCCCTCCACACAGACAGCGAAAAGCTCTCAGGACACACCCACCCACACAGGTTTCTAAGCAGGACCGCTCGCTGACCAGCTATCTGCCCACCTCTGCAGTAGGTCACCCCACAATGTGTCCTGAAACTAGTGCCTTCCTGGGTCTTGGTCCCCAACAAAGAGAGACCTCAGGAAGGACCCGCCCAGACACATGGCATGACCCACAGCCCAGCACCTGGAGGCCCTGGCACTCACGGCTGCTCTATACTAGTCAGCAGAGGCCAGGAACCAGGGAGAGTGGAAGGAATGTGTCCACAGAAAAGAACCTCCCCCGGGTCATGCCATGGTGCCTGATATGAGAGAACTGGGAGTGCTGAACCCAAAAGAAGGCACCCACTGCCCTGCTGGGTGGGGGCAGCAGGCACAGGCCCATGAAAAACGATGCCAATAACCACACGGCAGTGGGGGGAGTTGGGGAGTGGCCAGGTCTAGAGCCGTGCAGACCACTCCCCCAGCCCACCCAGGAAGGGCCCAGCGAGTGAGGGACAACACTGAATTGGGACTTCTCCCATCAGTGATCAGAGCATGACCCCGGATCCCTGGCCTCACTCCTACCTCCTGCCCCTGGGGACCCTCCAATGCCAGCTCTGGTGGGCTGGGATGCAGATGGCCCCACCCAAGGACACAGAGACAGGTCACCTGGGAACTAACACTCCTCCCGACCACCCTGCATTCCAGGGAATCTGGCCAGAGGCAGGGAGTGTACCCACTCTTCCTCCCAGAGCTCCATGCTCATGAGGCCACCGCCTCTCCCATCTGCCGCAGTCGGCTCCCTTCCCAAGACCGGCCTGCCTCCCCTGGCCTCGCCTCTGGGCCATTGGTGGAGCCCTCTGGCCGGCCCCCACCCCTGGAGAGCAGCCCATCCACATCTCCACCCCTCCTCCCTGCTCCACCTGCTGGGGCTGTACTCATCCCCCTCCCAGATGGCACCTCCTTAAACTGACTAGGGCTGCGGGCAGGACAGGCCCGAACCCTCCTGTTCCCCTGTAGCCAGACTGACAGACAGCTGACTCAATGCCGGGGCCACTCTGAGCCGGGTCATCTGTGAAGTGCCTGGTGTCCGCTTATTTATTTACAAAATTACCTCTCAAAAACACCTCTAGTAACAAATAGCTTTAAAGATTAAAACAAGGCTTGTCGCAAGGCGCCCTGTCTGCCTTAAGGCCTCTCTTAAGATAAGATGGTCGGGGGACATGGTGAAGCTCCCATCTGGGCTTGGGGCTCCAAGCTGGGGTTCCTGCCTCCCTTGCAGACCAGGCTTGGCCCCAGGGCCTCTGGGCAGCCGGCAGCTCCCTCTCCCGGGTCCTGGGTCCCTTTGCCGCTCTCCATGGCACAGTCCCTTGCACCATCAGGTGATGAGACCGCAGAGCCAAGGTGGGGGTACTGTGTGCAGACGTCCTGGGCCTGGTAGACGTGGCTACCCTGTTGCGTCTTCATCACGGCCGTGAAGGAGGCCTGGGGGAGGAGACAGTGAGGCTCGGGTGGCCAGGCACGTGGCCAGCCCTGACCCCCAGCCGGTACCTACCTCCTGAAGGAGCTGCCCAAGCCTCTCCCGACTCTGGAGGGACCGCCTGTGGGAGAGGACCATCAGCCCAGGCCAAGAGCAGCCCTGCCGGGGCAGTGGGCTGGGGGGCACTCTGACATGCGATGACCTCACACCCACACCAGGGCCCACCTGTCAATCCTGGTCGCTATGGTGACACTGAAGGCTGCCTCTGTGTCGGGCAGGTAGGTGGAGGGCACCACTCCGTAGGTGCCCGCAGGCAGATGGCACAGCTGGCTCACCTCCAGGGCATGGCGGTGAGGCACACAGCTGGACAGAGGCTCCCGGTGCAGCAGGGAGGGCTCACCCTGGCTCTGGGCCCCGTCGGGAACCTGGCAGGGGCAGGGGCTCTGATGGGGAGGCAGCCTGGGGCTGACATGGGCCCCACAGCCATGGGGGTGCACTGCCCACCTTCCCCAGTATTTCGCCCCCTGCCAGGGCTCTGGGTACCGCCCCACTGCAGGTGGGGCAATCGGCCAGGGAGTCACTGGATTGCAAGCTGCCCCCCGCCCACCGGCCAGGGCCCTGTGGGAGACAGACGGCGTCCTCAGTGGGGTCGCTGCCCTAGCTGCGCTTAGGTCACCAGGCCCAGCCCCACAGGATCATCCGGGCTCCCATCTTCCAGGGGGCAGGGCTATCGCCCTCAAAGAGAATGCCGTCCTCTGCCGGACAACCATGGGCTCTCCAGGGTCAGGGGTGTGGTCGAGTCCCAGCTAACCAGGAGGCTCTGGGGCAGCCAGTACTTGCCAGTGTGCAGGCCAACAAGACCTAGGTAAGTGGGTGCCGATAGGCAAACAGCTGAGAGGCAGTGCCCTTAATGGACCAATGGGTCACACCCACAACACGGTGGGTCCCCAGGCATAAGACTGATGTGAGCTTGGCTTCCCCCCCACCCCCACTGGTGCGGGCACGGCTCCACCCATCACATTGTGGAGGGCTGCGTCCAGCTCAGCCCACAACACTGGCAGGGGATTGGGGGGCGTGTGCAGCTCCACCCACAACACTGGTGCAGACACGGCTCCGCCCACAACACTGGGTGGGGGGCGCATGCAGCTCCACCCACAGCACTGGCAGGCGTGGGGCCGTGTGCATCTCTGCCCATAACACTGGTGCAGCAGGCTCCGCCACAACAATGGCGCGGGGGTGGGGGTGGGGGGTAGGGCCCACGTGTGGCTCCACCCACAACCTGGAGCGAGCGCAGCTCCGCCCACAGGCCTGGAGCGGGCGTGGCCAACGGGCTTTCGGTGCAGTACATGCCTGCTCCAGCGAGCCCAGCCTTTGTCCGGCCGACGGCGCGGCCCGAGACAGGCTTGGCAGCCCTGCCGGCAGGCACAGTGGCCCGGGAAGCAGAGCGGTCTTGCCTGGAAGACGTGGAAGCCGATGGGGTGGCAGGCTCCTTCTTGGCAGTGCTGGCGCAGCGTGATGCGGACGCAGCGGGCGCCCCCGCCGGCGGCCACGGAGAAGGGGAGGCAGGGGTTGCTGGGGTAGGAGGCGAAGTTCCTGCTGCCGCCCGCCGTCTGCCCGGCCCGCCAGCAGCCCTGCAGCCGCACGGTCTCCCACTCTCCCGCTGGCAGGGTGCCCCCAGGGACTGTGCTCCTGGGGGCCAGCTTGATGGCACTGAGGGAGGGTGACAGGGGCCTGGCTGAGGGCTGGGCGGGCAGCCCGCCCCCAAATGGACACGAGCCAAGGCAGGCTGGGCCCACAGCCCCAGGACCCCAAGAGGCGCCCACCTGAGGGAGACCCTTCCGGAAGAGAAGGCCCGGAGCAGGAACTGGCCCGGCACGTCCTTGAGGAAGGTGCTAGGCACGGCCAGGTAGTACCCAGGGGAGAGCTCACAGCGAAGATGCACCTCGCGGTCGTACGCGTGGGAGGCGGTGCCCGCCACGGGGGGTGCCGACAGGACTGCAGGCAGGCTGACCCTCCGCTTCTCCACCTGGGGCACAAGACCGAGGCCTGTACAAGCCAGTGTCCCCCCAGGGCCTCTCGCAACAGGAGCAGGGCAGCACATCGAGGTCACAGGCCCCTCTTCATCTTTCCACCAGCAGGGGCTCCATCTCCGCCTGCTGGCCAGCGGCCCACAGGCTCCAGTCTACAGACCCTCCGCAAGGCCCGTGCCCAGATGGATAGGACCCCATGACCGCCCTGCCCGGCCGGCCCTTGTCCATACCTCATCCCTGACCCCGGGTGGGCAGGGAGTCTGGGCGTTACCTTCCACACATGGAGGCCCACAGCCTGGAGGTCCTTCCCAGGAAGGCGGGCTGGGCCCCGCGGGGCATGGGGGTCCCTCGCCCGGGGCCTCTGGAGCACGGCCAGGCACACCTCGCTGGGCTCCCAGACCCGCAGCCAGAACTTGGGGTTACTGGGGAAGCTGCTGTTGTTCCGGCACCCCCCGGCCGACTGGCCTCTGACCCAGGCCCCCGGCAGTGCTTGGGTGTGGCTCAGCGCCCTTCCTGTTGTGAACAGAGTTCTATCAGCTCTGGGGACAGAGCCTTGGGCCAGCAGCCGGCAGGACTGAGGGCAAGAGGCCCAGTGACCGATGGGCACACCAAGAGGGGCCTGAGGCAGGGCTGGGCATTCCTGTCACCTGAGTAGAGGCTCTGCAGGTGGCCGTCCTCGGAGACAGGGAAGCCAATGGTAAGCTCGTCAAACTCTCGAAGGAATTCGTCCGCCTCCACCCAGAACTCCCCTTCCTGCAGCTGGGACAAGAGTGCCGCCGCCACCTCCGCCTCGACCCGGCTCCACCCTTCGCCCCTGGAGGGAGTCCTGGGCTCAGCCAGAGTGTCCCCAGGACGGACACCCAGGCAGACAGCCCAGGGGCAGCACAGAGCGCGTCCCCAAGGCCGCCCGCCCCTCCTCACCAGCTGGGTGGTGCCGGCCCTTCTCGAACGCACCCTTCTCTCCAGGGCCCCCGCCAGCACCGCCGGCCCCAGGGGTTGTGGACGCACAGCAGCAGGACGCCCTCGCCGGCTGCGCTGCGGAACTCCTGGACATCCGACACGACGAAGGCATGGAACTCCCCCAGCTCCGGGGTGCCTGGGAGGGACAGCGCGCTCACTGCAGGAAGGGCCCGGGGCGCCAGACCTCGCAGGGCCAGAGCTCGCCACTTACTGCCTCTCCAAGGCGTGCTGTGCAGGGCCCGGGCTAGCTGCTGTACATCTCTGAGTGCAGGTGCCTCTTCAGCAAGGGCAGAGCGTGGGAGGGTGTGGGCGGGGCTTGGCCAGCACCCAGGGCTGAGGTTAGCCCTCCCCTCCTCTCCTTTCCCCTCCCCTCCCCAGGGCCTCTCCCTCCTGGGCTGCCCCAGGTGCCACCCTGGCCTTGTCACAACTCTGACATGCTGACGTCATCAACTGTCCTTGACTGGCGGGATCTGCCCAGATATAGGGTACGCGTCCCTGGACAAAGATGGCGTACCACTTGGAGAGCTGTGGCCACATGGGGCGGCCTCTTCCCATTAGGAAGACAGAATGGCCTCAACAGCAGTGGGCATGGCTTTTATTTATTTTTTGGTGGACATTGTGATGCATCAACCTTTTCCATGCAGTGTTATTTACAACCCCCAAAACTGGGAAGACCTTAAATACCCAACATGTGGGACAGGACTGAGAAAACCTGGGCCGATGCACCGATGAAAATGTTTACAAAGCACACGCAGGAGCATGAACACGACACGCAATAAAAACAATATAAACCACACGTTTCTTAAAAACAGAACGTGCACTAGAATCAAGAGAGGGTTTATTTGTCTTTTTTTTCTTTCCTTTTCTAACATAATCTCTGTAATGATCACAATACATTGCTGTCAGATGAATTCCGACCCACAGCATCCCTAGAGGACAGAGTGGAACTGCCCACAGGGTCTCCAAGGCTGTCAATCTTCACAGAAGCAAAGCCCAAACCACACCCACTGCCGTGGAGTCCATTCTGACCCACAGCGCCCCTAGAGGACAGAGTGGAACTGCCCACAGGGTCTCCAAGGCTGTCAGTCTTCACAGAAGCTGACTGCCCTATCTTGTAGGGACTGGTAGGTCTGAAGCACTGACCTTTTGGTTAGCAGCCAAGCACTTAACCACTGCATCATTAGGGGTCCTTTTAATGAGTCTGCATATCCCTAAAAGGAGCATGCGAGTGTGTCTGGGCCAGGCTGCTGGACACTGTGCAAACCTGCTTCCAAGACGGTCCAGGTGACAGCCACTAACACAGGTCCTCACTGCATCCTGGTGGCCAGCACCGGCTGGGGGCCTACACCTGTACAGACTTGGCTCCCTCTCGCCACGTGGTCCTGACAGGCTGGGGTGCACCGTCAGCGTGTGCCTCCCGCTGCATGTGGCCCCGCACCCCCACCCCTGGCCAGTCCCTCACCTGCTCTGGGGCCGAGCACGGAGCAGCTCAGCAGACACTGGTCCTTCAGGCAGAGCAGCTGCTGGAGGGTCCTTTGTCCCCAGGTGTCAGGCCTGTCCTGGGGGCCACTGGCTTTTGCTAAGTCCTTCAGGTTCCATCTTTCTGCCAGGCCGCCGGTCAAGTCCACCAGAGCGTCTGCCACCTGCCCTGCCCACAGGTGCTCATAGGACCCGTGGAGCCTGGGGCGCACACAGCAAGCGCACTCAGTCACCGGGGGGGCTCCTGCCTCGTCCTCCTCGTGTCTGAGCCCGCTCTACCCCATCTGCCTTCCCCTCACTGCCTCCTGCCTATCTCTGCCAAGTCTACACATCACCTCAGAAGGCGGGGTGCCCAGTGTTGCGAGCCCCCACATCCTCCCTCATGCTCCTCCTCCCTCTCAGCACCGGCACAGGCAGGGAGGCCCTGGAACAACCTTGTCCCGTGCATGACAGTCACATGCTCTCAAAACACAGCTGTCACCTGGGACTGTGTGTGGACCCAGGGCCAAAGTAAACAAGCGCTTATGAGCCCGGGACCCCGCCCTCCCCACCTCAGAGGCTGGCCCCAATGTTCCAAACAATACATGGAAACCTACACCCTGCTGGGGTTTACAGATACTGAAAGGAGGAAGTCAGTGGTCTTTTTTCTGTCCCTCCCCCCCCAGGCAGGCAGATTCTCCTGAGAGTGGGCCAGATGGGAGTGGAGGGGCCCTGGCAGCCCTGCTCTGGCCCCTGCAGTGATTGGCTAGACCTTCTGCAGCACCGCCCCACTAGGCAGAGACCTTCCCCTGCTCCGCCCCCTACAAAGCAAGGGCTTTCCGAGCCCCGCCCATGCCTCCCCTGCTTACTAGGCCTAGACCTTCCCCAGCCCCGCCCCATACTTGGGGCGGACCTTCTCCAGCCCCGCCCCCTACAAGGCAGGGACTTTCCCAGCCCCGCCCACGCTCGGCCGCGTACTTGGCGTAGACCTTCTCCAGCAGAGGGAGCCAGAACACATCCTCACTCTGGCAGCGGGAGAAGCAGAGTCTCCCAGCAAGACAGGGCAGGCGGTCATCCACCGTCACCTCCACCCAGTGTCCGAACTGCCACACGCAGCAGGTGAAGCAGCCCCGGTACGCTGGGTCCGGCCAGCTCGGCTGTCCCGGGGGAATGACCTAGGGGCACAGGGAGTGCTGAAGGAGCATGACAGACAAGGGGCTCCCCAGTGCCCTGCAGCAGAGGCCAGTGTCCCGGGAAACTGAGTCCCGGTGGGAAGTCAGAAGCCGCGAGCCAGGTGTCTCCCAAGGCTGCCAGCGGACCACTTCGCTCTCCTGCCTTGGAGCCAAGTCCAAATCAAAGGTGGCTTCTGCAGGCAGGAGCAATCCTATGCTGAAAGACTGGCTGCAGATGTGTGCCCAGGGACGGCCCAGAGGCCACCTCGTTCACTGCCCCTTACTGGCCAGGAACACGGTGACGGCAGTTTCAGTTGTAACATGTATAAAGAAGTCAGGGGTCCCAGCTCACAGGGCTGTGGGCACAAGAGCCAGCAACATGATGTGGCTGCCTCGGCCAGTGCTGTCACTCGGCGACTGGGTTCAGCCACCACCACTGCTGGGGAGAAGCCGTGAGAGCCCGCGGGCCTGCACCGCGTCTGCCATCACAGACAGTGAGGGTCGCCTGGTGCAGCTCACTTTCTGGGCATGTTGTCGGGAGCGACCAGTCCTTGGAGGAAGATCATGCTGCGTAAAGCAGGGGTCAGTGAAAAAGGGGAAGACCCTCAACGAGATGTGGCCTGGCATAGTGGCCCTGACAACGGGCAGTGTGGATGCTGTTATACACGTGCTCGCTGTGAGTCAGTGGTACCTGACAACAAGGTCACTTACACCACACAGTTCCCCAGCTGGCCCTCCTCTAGGCTGGCACCAGTCAGCTGTCCTGACCACACGGAGAACCCGGGGCGCAGAGGGCAACAGGACGCCCCCAGGGACTCTCCCAGGCCAGCAGAGAGGCCCCTGCTTTGCAGGGGGGAGAGTCTGCCTGGGGGCGCTCCGTGATGTGACAGTGGGGTCCTCACACTGTCAACTAACCGCACAGCCGAAGTCCCATGCTGGCCGGAAGCCCACTGCCGCGTTTCCCGCCTTTGGGAGCTGCTCTCCCGCAGGCCCACCCCGCGCCCGCAGAGGCGCACACCTGCTCCAGGAGGCGCCGGCGCTTCTGCAGCGCCGCGCAGGCGCACAGGAACCAGCAGTCTCCCAGCAGCCCCTGCTTCACCTGCCCCTCCTGGGGGCGGTCGGGAAACAGCCGGGGGGCGGCACAGATCTCCTGACAGGAAGCAGAGGGTCCAGTTAGATGGGGCCTGGGGTGCTGGCACATGAGCACCAGGAGCCAGGCCACGGACCAGGCTGCTCGTCCTTGCTGCCTTGAGAGGGAGGGGAAGGTGCTGGCTTCTTACAACCATTGTCCTTGAGCCCCTCCTGGCTTCAGACCCCCGTCTCTCCTCACCTTCCTTATTGGCAAAACCCCCAAACCTACGTTGACTCCTGTCCCCCACCCCGACCCTGGGTGACTCCTGGCCCCCACCCCGGACTCTGGGTGAATCCACCTCCTTAAAACAGCTAAAGCTTGGTCTAGAAAAGAGTTTCACCTCAACTCACGGCAGCAAATCCCCAAGGGTCCTCGCCACTGCTGGAAATCCCAGAAGCTGGTGGCCACGTCCCGGCCATTTCTCCCCGTCCTCTAGAAACGGCCACGCCCCCTGCCCCCCCTTGCCTCAGCCTCTGCTTCCTCAGCCTTCACCTGCCCCTCCCCCTGCCCTCCTGCCCCCTTCCCCAGCCCTCCCAGCTCCTCCATCTTTAAGACGTTAACCCACCCCCACCCCACAACGCCCAGTTCTCCCCTCCAAAAACCAAACAAACTGCGACTGATGAGCCAAATCTGACTCATAGTGACCCCTCCTGGGGTTTCCAAGGCAGTATCACTGTGGAAGTAGATTGCCCAACCTTCCTTCCGAAGAGTGGCTGGTGGGTTTGAACCACCATACTTCTGGTTAGCAGTCAAATGCCTTAGGCACTACGCCACCAGAGCTCCCATAGTTCTCCCCTAGGATGCCCCATTTCTCAGCTTCCCGCCAGACCCTTCGAGGTCCTGAGCTGCGCCCCTCAGCCCACCTGCCTGCCTGAGCGTGGAAGAGTGAGCCCCCAGCACAGCACTCAGGACCCCTCACCCAGCTGCCAGGATGGAAATCCTGACGTGAGGTTTGATGCCTGTCCCAGCGACTCCTGTTTCCAAGTGGTCACTAAGACTAGTAGCTCTCCAATTCAGCCATGCCACAGCCCGATCCTGACCTCCGTCACACTAACCTGAGCCACCTCGGTCCTCCAGGGCACCGTGGCAGCTGCTTCTGTTCCTGCCTGAACCCCAGTTCCCAGCCAGCCGCAAGACAGACTCTACAGACAAATTCACTCTAGCCACCCTCTACCAGCCAGCTGCCATCAAGTCACTGGCTTGCGGTGACCCTGCGTGTCTGAGCAGAACTGTCCACAGGCCTTCAATGGCTGACCTGCCGGAGTAGACAGCCAGGCCTTTCTTCCACAACGCCTCTGGGTGGTACTGCAACCTCCAACCTTCAAGTTAACAGCTGATTGCATTAACCACTGGCATCACCCAGGGAATCCTACTGCCCTCCCACTGCACCTAAAACCCCATTCCTTTGTAAAATAACCCCCAAATTCCACAAGGATGTTCACGCTCTGGCCCTCGCCTCCTCTCAAGTAGGCTGCCTCCCAGCCTCCCGGAGCCAATTTAGTCACCAGAGCCCAGCAGACCTGGCTCCTTCAAGGGTTGGTTGACCATTTGATGTCTGCTCATGCTGCTGCCACTCAGGGTGGCAAAGCTGTTCTTTAGTGGTCTTTTCTCCGAAGATAAACTGTCACGAAGAATATCAAGGGAACTCTGGTGGCGTAGTGCCTAAGGCATCAGACTGTTAACCAGAGAGCTGGTGGTTCATACCCACCAGCCACTCCTCGCAAGGAAGGTGGGGCAATCTACTTCCGCAGTGGTACCGCCTGGGAAACCCAAGGAGGGGTCGCTATGAGTCGGATCGACTGGACGGCAGTGAGTTTTGTTGTTGTTGACCTTTCAGAAGCAGAACGCCAGGCCTTTGGTCTGAGCCGCCTCTGGGTGAGTTCGAACCGAGCTGAACCATTTGCTCCACCCCCGGAATCCTACACCAGAGTTCTCAAAGGCGTGGCCACGACCTCGTCTCGGGTCCTTAAAGATGAGGCTGGGGTCTGGCACGTCCTGAATGGCTGCAGAGGGAGCTAGAAAGAGGGGCGGAGGGCGCCCAGGAACCACTTCTGGGGATAAAGGCAGCCGAGCTTGCCTTTCCCGAGTTCGCAGTGGCTACTGCAGGGCAGACCCGCTGACCGCTCATCCACGTCTCCCGCTCGGTCCAAGCCCCGCGCCAACCAAGCCCCGGAAACGCGCTTCCTAACCTGCACCCTGGCACGGCCCCCGGCTGCCCGAGCCCGCCCGGCCTACCTGGGGCCGCCGCCACGTAAAGTCCTCCCGGAACTGGGTCAGTGGCGTGGAGAAGCTGAAGAAAAGCGAGGTATCCGAAGCCGGGAAGGCGGCGTCCCGGAAGAGTTCGGGCGCCGGCGTCTCCGCCGATGCACCCGCATCTTCGGGGACCCGGGCTCCCATCTGCAGCCCGCGCCCCGCACAGGTCGCGGCCGAGCGGCTTCCCCAGGCCAGTGAACTCAGGGTCGCGGCCCCAGAGGGACCCCAGCCGGTCCCCGATGCCCCGCCTCCCCGCCGCGCGGGGCAGCCCAGCGAAACCCGCCCGCCAGCTGCCCGTTAGGGGTGCCGGCCATCCCGTCGCCCGGGTAACCGCCAGGGGCAACCAACCAGAGGCGTGTCTCGGGGTCACATGACCCATTGGTCACATGACGACCGCACTTGCTCAACCCCGCCCCATGCATCAGGGGCGGGACTCCAGAGCTCGCTCTCACGAGGCTCCGACGTCTCTTCGCTTTTTGTCCTTCCGGGTCCTGGCTGGAGCAGGAGCGGTCTCTGCTGAGGTTCACACGTGGAAGCCTGTCGGACATCTCGTCCTGGAGGTGAGCTTGCTCAGGCCGAGCACCGAGGCACTGTGCTTCTTGGAACTGAAGGGACGTGAGAGACGACCGAGCCTAATACTGGGCCGTGGACTACGGATCCCAGCATGCAGCGCGGCATTCCAGAATGTGTCCTTCCTTCCGGCGCCCGGAAGCGCGTTGGGCTGTTTATGCCGCGAATGCGACTGGCTGGGTTTAGTAGAAGGTCCTGATGGGGAACGAGCGGTATTGGATGGTTTTGGTGGCCGCTGTTCCCGTGGAGTTGTGAGCTGGGGACTTGGGGAATGAGACAGCACCAGAGGAGGTAGCTCCCCGGAGGGCCAGGAGGACCAGAACCGCTGGATCCCCAGCGAGCGCAGAGATGAGGCGGGTGCATCCCGCTGATTTCCTCCTGGGCTCAGACGGCCGAACCTCTGTTCCTCGTGGTTGAACGTGCAGTTACAGTTCATGACTGCTCGGTGCTGCAGGGTGGTGAGGACTGTGACTTCAGGACATACCCTTGCTGCGTGACTCTGCTTCCCCGCCGCCATTGGAAGGAAGGCAGTCAGCCAGAGGCTTAGCTCTCCTGCCGGCCCCTCCGAGTCTGCTTCACTGCGGTAGGAGCGTGCGCAGGAGGGCGGGACCCAGGCCCCGTGAGACCTCTCCCCCAAGCTTTTCGGATGTTGCATCTCCGCACCGTTTTGCCCAGCCTCGCCAAAGGAAGGTCAGATCGAAGCCTTTCTGCTGCCAAGTGAAGATCCCCCTAGCCCTGACCTCGGCTTGCTCTGAACCACAGCTGCAGCTCCTCCCTCTGAGAGGTTGGGCCCAGAAGTGTAGCAGCTGTGGGTGGTGTGACCCTGTTGCCTTAACGCCACTGGCCCCAGCCTCCAGTTAGGGCCAGTCATCGCCTGATGAGATTCCAGAAAAGGGGGGCAGCACATAGCCTACGTCAGGCTTCCGCACCCTTGGGGGTCTCCTTTCTGCCCTCCCAACAGGCTGTGGGCTCCAGCGCCCTCCCGGGGCGTGGAACGGCATGTTTCCTAATCCCTACTCTGTGCCACGGCCAAGACCTCTGCAGGGGAGGCCCCTGGGACAGGTGATCTGCTGGTGACAGGAGACTCTGTCCCTCCACTCTGACGGAAGGGCAGAAAGGCCACACTAGCCAGAGTCCAAGCCACAATTCTCCAACCGGACCTCATCAGAAATAAAGTTGATTCTGTAGTTCCTGCGAATTAAGGCTTCCAGCCCCCAGCAGAAGACACTTAAGGGAGGGCCTTGGGTATGGGGATGCCTGGCTAGTGTCACCAGAGGGGACTGCCTCAGGGCTGGGGGCCTGCACCCACCCCTAACCCAGGAGAGCCCCTTGGGTGGGCCTGGCTGGGCGTTGAAGCCAGCTGTCCAGGGGCTGCCCAGAACCTGGGGCCTCGTTTTCTTCTAAATGGTTGAGGCCAAGGGTCTGTCCTTGTCCCCTAGGTGGGAAAACCAGACCGAGTGACAGTGCACCAGTGGCCACAGGCGACTGTCAGAAATCAGCCTGGTCCTGGCCAGAGTGCTCAGGGCTGGGAGTCAGGTCAGTGCCCTTAGAAAGGGGGTACACACACATTCATGGCAGGCCAGGATCTGGGCAAAGCCTCGGAGAAAAAGTGTGGGGACCTGGGCAAGGGTCCAGGGGATGGAGAGCCAAGCCCCAGGAGTCTGCTCAGGGCTGGGGGGAGGGCTGACAAGTCCTGTGGTGGGGCCAGTGGAAGCTCGCCACTGGTCAGGGCACCCCCAGGAGCTGCTGGGCCCATGTGGAGACCCTATCGTGGAGCCCAGGAGCAGCCCCACCCAACATTTCTCTGCCTCTGGTGAGGGGCGGGGCTGTGTTTGGGAGGAGACTGTGAAGAGGTCAGTGTGACCAGCTGTCAGAACGAGCCCCCAACCAGCCAGCCACACCACCAGAGGGGTCCCAGATGGATGCAGTGGGCAGAAGTCAGGACACGTGGGGACAGGGCAGTCAGGTTTGCAGAGTGGAGGTTTAATGGGACTGTCCCAGTGACGCTGCAGGCATGGTGCGGGGCCCAGCCTAGGCCCTCCTCGCCACGGTCCCTGGAGCCCAGGGCCTGGGCTCCTCCACAGCACGGTGGCCTAAGGAAAGCACCAGCGCCACCTGCCGCTTCCCTGTGGTATTGCTTCTCCCGTGCGCCTGCCTGCGCCCAACCTAGGCAGCCCCCCAAACCCCACCCGGGACCCCGGTTCCCTGAGGGGCTAAGGCTTTCCTCGGCCCGGGGCCCCTTCCCGGGGACGTGCGCCCTCTCCCTGGTGTTGCCTGGCCCCATGCTGCAGGAGCAGGACACAGAGGGCATGTCTACGTGCCCGGTCCTCTGCCAGGCGGGCCCTGCCGAGGAGGCTCTGCGGAGGCTGGGCCGCAAGCTCGGCCCCGGCTGTCCGCAGACGGAAGGCACAGTGTGGCGGTCACCGGGGGCCACGGGGCCGTCCCCGGGCAGTGACTGGGGTGGACGTCCGCCCTTCCCGCTGGGAGTCCGGGCGGGCGCGGCCTCCGTGAGGGGACGGGAGGGCGTGCCGCCAGCTCGGCCCACAGTGCAGGAGGGCAGGCCGGCCAGGCGGCGTCCGGAAGGCACAATCGTGGTGTCTGGGAGGTCGTGGGCAGCCTGCACGCGGCTAGGCAGACACGTTGACGTCCCTGAGAGAGATGGCACTGCCGGGGGCCTCCTCCCCGAGCAGCAGGGCCGGCGTGTCCGTGTCCGGGCCCGCGTCCCGCTCGGCACTGGGCTCCGCAACCGGCTCCACGCCTGGGCCCAGGCCCTGGGACAGGATCTGCTGGATGGTTCTGCGCAGGTTGGGGTGCAGCCGGCCTTGAGTCTGGTAGAAGACCTCCAGGGCGAAGGGCTTGAGGGCGCCGGTGCAGAGGTCCTCGTACAGCGGGATGGTGTACATGCGCGACATCTGCGGGCGGGTGTGCACTCAGCCTCCCTGCCCCGTGCCGGCCAGCCCCAGAACCACCGCCAGCCCCCACCTGCCCCAAGGAACATCCGTGGCGGAGGGGCGCTGCCTGGAATGAGGGGCAGGCTGGCAGGGTGACACCCTGTCCCCACACCCCTCTCACCTGGCTCATTCCCCCACACCCAACGCAAACCCCGTCTCCCCACCCTGTTCTCCAGAAAGCTCTGAAACCCCAGCCCGTGTGGTCAGACTCCAGGCCCCAGGGGATGGTGGAGGCGGGGCAGGGAGCGGCCCTGCCCCAAGGCGGCCCTGCAGGTGACACACCTGGCTCTCCAGGAAGCGCCGCACCCTGTGCAAGTCGGGGTAGTAGTCGTTGCGGACCACAAGCTGCAGCCAGCGGATACGGATCTCTGCATTCATCGAGTCCAGCAGGGCCGAGTAACACTTGGACAGGCTGGTCACTACCTCTGTGGGCGGGGCACGTCAGGGGCGCCCAGGCACTGCCCCACCCTGGCTGACCACCCCTTCCCCAGGCAGTAGTGGGTACCCATCCAGGGCAGTGGGACCCACCCTGGGGCAGCAGGAACCTACTAGAGTCAGGGACACATCCCAGGGCAGCAGGGACCTACTCTGGGATGACAGGGACCCACTGGGCAGCAATGACCTACCTTGGGGCAGCGGGGACCCGCCCTGGGGCACCAGGACCCACCCTGGGACAGCAGGAACCTTCTGGGAGTCAGGGGCACATCCCGGGGCATCAGGGATCCACTCTGGGGTGACAGGGACCAACTAGGCAGCAGGGACCCTCCCTAGCAGCGGGACCCACCCTGGGGCAGCGGGGACCCGTCCAACAGCCGGTCGAGGAACAATGCTGTCTGGAAGGTCCTCCACTTAGAGATGTCGACAGCACTGGCCGAGGCGGCCACCTGGTCCAGGGGCTCTGCCGTCCACAGCTGGAAGAGGGCCTCCACCGGCCGGGTCAGACTAAAGCCCTGAGACAGATCTGGCTCTGCCAGCGGAGGGCCCGTGGCATTGAGCCAGCGTTCAAACTCCAGCCCTGCAGGGGTGGGGAGGCGATCCGGGGGTTCGCTGGGCTGGGGGGCTGCCCGGGAGACCTAGACCCTGAGCTCTGTCCCCAGGCAGGTGGCCCACCCTAGGCCCGGGAACCCCCACTGGCCCTGAGCATGGGTCCCGGAGGCCAGCCCCAGCTTCTGCCGCTGGAAGCCACTGCAGAGGAGGGAAGGGCTCAGTGACCAAGGGACCCTCATTCATCCTATGCCTCTGCTGGGTGCAAGACAGTGAGGTCTTCAACCCACCCCAGTGCCAGGGGCCTGTGGCCGGTGAGTTAGAGGAGCGAGCAAGGAGCTTCAACACTGGCACTCCTGCCTTACAGCCCCGTAGGCAGGTCCAGCACCTCCCTACCCCCAAAGAACCCCGTCCACCCACTCACCTTCCAGAACCGAGTCACCGTGCCCAGGCCTCCCCCTCTATCACTGCCCTCCAGCAAACCTCAGCTTTGCACTAGAAGTCAGACCCTCCCATCCTTCCTCTGGGGCCCCAGCCTCAGATCCCCGCCACACCCTGACGGGCATCACGCAGCAGGGCCAGCTGGCCTCAGCCAGCTCCAGGCCAAGCCCCGAGCCCTGCTGCTCCCGCCCCAAGTCCTTTGCACGTGCCATTTCCATGACCCTTCTGTAACCACCAGACTGGGCTGGCTTGCCCTGCGTGTTACCTCCTCCAGGAAGCCACCTGGACCCCATCAGGCTGGGAAGGCACCTCCCTCTCTGCCCTCATGGGGCGGAGCCCTGGGGCCTAGTGAGGGGCAAATGAAGGAGACAGGGGCTGGCATCTCCCTACACCCCGGGGCTGGAGCCTCACCTGCCCGGCAGTCCACGCTCTGCTCCTTCAGTTCAGGGAAGAAGCTGAGGAAGGAGTCTAGCAGGTCCTGGGCCACCACGCTGCTGAACTTGAACTTCTCCACGTAGGCCTGCATGGGAGGGGTGAGGCCTCAGTGGTCTGGAGGGAAGGGATGCACGCCCACCAGACCTGCCTGCCTGCACCCAGGGGCTGCCCGTTGCCACACAGGGGCCCACTCAGGTACTGCCCTGAGCAAAGGCAGGCCAGGTCCTAGTGGGGCGCAGAGCCCCCTACTCCATCCCCACCACCAGAAGAGCAGACTCTCCAGCACCCCCGTCCCAGCCACGTGCCCACCAGGAGCCCAGGAGCCAGGGAGGGGCCGCTCACACGGAGAAAGTCGTCAAAGCGCTGGGGGTCTCCGCAGAGCTGGGACAGGTAGTGCATGAAGCAGTAACCCTTCTCGTAGGTGAACAGGTTCATCAGGTGGCTGGGGTTCACTCCTGCACGGGGAGACCCTGGCTCGGGGGTGCCCAGGACTCTCCTGTGTCCCGCGGGGTAGGGAAGGGACGCTGCTCTGGGCTGTGGAGCAGGAAGGGCTGAGGGCCACTACTGTCTCTTTGGCTACAGACACCCTCAGAGCATGAGGTGACCAAGGGTCATGGCAGCCCAGGCCCTGTGCCCAGGAGGGCAGCTGTGGCCTGGGCAGCTAGGGGGGACTCCCTGGGGCAGGCGTGGGGGGGGCAGGCGGGTGTCATGCCCGGAGTCCCAGGAGGGGCTGGCCCGAGGGTACCTGGCTCCAGCTTGGCCTGCAGCTTGCTGACGGGACTGTCTTCCCCTAGCACTTTCATCTGCCGGTGCAGGGCATCCAAGCGGAAGGCTGTCTCCAAGCAGGTGAAGGCTGCACCTGGCGGGCACAGGGAGGCAGGTGGGGCTGAGCACCCTCAGCAGGGCCTGGGCTGCTGCCCCGAGCCAGGGAAGCTGACCGGGGTGGCCGGAGCTCCAGGCCACGGGTCAGCCTCCTGCCTGGGCCCCACAGGTGCTACCGTAGGTCTCTGTAGTGATGCGTCGCTGGGCATAGGTGGCCAGGCCCTCGCTCAGCCACATCTCCTCCCAGGTGGCGTTGGTGACGGCGTTGCCAAACCAGCTGTGGGCCACCTCGTGGATGACGTCAATGACCAGAAACTCGTCGCTCTCCAGGATGGAGGAGATGATGAAGGTGAGGCAAGGGTTCTCCATGGCCACAATGGGGAAAGACGGCGGCAGGAAGACTATGTCGTACCTGCCGGCCAGGTGAGCGGCTGAGGGGCACAGCCCCGAGCACCCGTGCCACCCGGGGCCCCGGCCAGGTAGGGCAGGGACAGGAGCCTCAGTGGTCCCACAGGGGCACCCTCTCCCCAGCAGCCAGGGCTCTGGGCCCACCGCAGCACATGCCTGCCCATCCACGCAGATCTCCTAACCCAGGACATGGCTGCCCACATATAAGAACCTCCACCCCAGGACATACCTGCCCACGTGTATGGACCCTACCCCAGGACATGGCTGCCCACGTGGACAGACTGCCCGCCAGGACATACCTGCCCCACATGTAGGGCCCGTACAGCCTCTCAGCCGCACTAAGCCACTGCTCTACCACACCTGACAGCTTGCTGGTGGCGGTGGACAGCAGGCATGGCTCAGCCCACACACGGCTCCTGCAGTGCACAGAGATGGGTGGGGTGCCGGACGCCCCGGAAGGCCTCCCCTGCCCCCGCCCTTGGCCATGCCCTCAGCCACTCCCCCCCCCAGTAGTGACCAAGTAACTCTGGAGGGCAGCATCCCTTCCGTGTTGTTTCTCACTCACATGAGCCCAAGTGGATATGGTGTGGAGGTCAGTGGTCTTGGCCATGGACAGGCCAGTGGGCAGGTAGCTGGGTGGCCAGGAGGCCATGGGGGCAGCAGGGGGCCTGGCAGGGGGACCCCATGCCATGGCAGTAAGGTAGGTGGGGGGCAGTCCTGCAGTGGGGCACAGGCTAGAAGCACCCTAGTGAGGAGGGGTCCTTGGCAGGGGGGCAGTGGACGTGGGCCACAGACCTGGCCCACGGCAGGACTGTCTAAGGCCAGGCCTGTCGCCCCCAAGGACAGTGGCCTGTCAGGAAGCAGAGGAGTGGCCCTACCTGGGTCCGATGTCCGCAGGCTGGAGGTCTCCGGCCACGAGGGCCACGAGGTAGGCAGGCACGGGGTGCTCCATGTGGAAGTGATACACGCCCTCCTCCTCCACGTACACAGTGCGGGTGGCGCTCATCAGCACCTGCACCCCCGAGGGAGCCTGCGGGACCCCCGGACTGAGGAGCAGGCGGCCCGCTCGTCAGGGCCCCCGCAGCCCGGGTCAGGGAACCCCACAACCCCATCAGAGAGCCTCCCGTCCCCAGGGCGGTGCATGGACCTCAAGGTCCCTGGTCCGGAACCCCTGTCCCTGGTTGGAGAACGGCCGAGTGCCAGTCGGGTGACCCACGGTCCTCCCAGGGGACCCAGCTCCTCCATCTGGGCCCTCCCCTCGTCGGGGGCCTCCCCGTGGGTCCACAGACCTCAGCCATGGTCTGGCCTGCCTGTAGGGAGCCCCACTCCCCAGGTCCTGCTGAGCGGTCCCTCCCCCACAGTGAGGAGGGCACAGAACCAGGCGGGTAACAGCGAGGAGGAGGTGCCAGGCGAGCCCAACGGCCCCGAAGGCAGCAGCGGGCGGCGGGGAGGGGCTGGGCGCCCAGGGGCTCACCTTGACGACAGCCGAGTAGGTGCACTTGACGGCGGGTGTGTCGAAACAGGGGAAGAAGGAGCGATTACACACGGAGTGGCCCTGAGTGAATACGAAGGGCTTGGCGTGGCCGTAGGTCAGCTCCGGGTCCAGCCACCAGATCTGTGGGCAAGTGGGCGGGCATCAGCAGACAGCCACCCGCTGGGCCAGGACACCCTCTGGCCGCCACTCCTGAGGGCACAGCCTGTCCCAGGTGCTCTGCCCACAGGGACTCTTATCTCTCAGCCAGCCAGAAAGAGGAGGGGGCACCCTGAACAGACAGGGACCCGGGGAGGGGAGCGTGGACACCAGGCAGGGGGGGGTGGGAAGATGGGTGGTCCGAGGAGGCTGGGGTGGGGGGCGCAGGGAAGTGAGTGCTGCCTGGCGGAGCCGAGGGTGCGAGGGCACAGCCAGGGTGAGCAACCTGCCTCCCGCAGGGCCTGGGGCCTGATCCGTCACCGTGAGGGACAGCTGAACCCCGGGCGCCACACCCCTTGCCCTCCGACTGCCCTCCTGGAGCCTTTGCATAGGCCAGTCTCCAGCCTTGGCCTCCCCTGCTGTCCATGGCTGCCCACCCAGCTCCTGGGCCCCCGTGATCCTGGGTGCGTGTCCCACCCACAGAGGTTCCCCACGCCCCCCACCGCCACCCTTGTCCCCTTTCTTCCCCGCTACACTTTCCCCACTCTGAAGGGCCCCTGGGTGTGCTCTGGGGCCTGGAGAGCTGGCTGGGCAGTGGGGACTCCAGGGAAGAGCAAGGGTGAATAGGGCACAAGGCACATCAGGGGACACCTGAGTTTAACTCAGGAGGCAGGTTTGGGGGGATTGAGGTGTGCCTTTCGGCTTACCACAGGGCCTGCCCCCGGGCTTGAGATCAACTCAGAAACCCTGCTAGCGCAGTTAACACAGGGAGCGGGCCCCTCGGCCACCCCAGTCACAGTGGGAAGGTGCCAGCTGCAGAGGGAACCCACAGGCCAGCCACCAGGACAGGCCTGACCCTGCAGAGCCTGGCAGCAGTGGGACCCACCCACAGCCAGGTCAAAGGGCCAAAGGCCAGAGAGCACCCCCCTGTGACGTGGGCCTGTGCCCACCGCCATGGTGGGGAGGAGGCCAGCTCACGGCTCCAAGTGCACAGGCCAAAGCCAAGGTGATCACATTCCACCCCTCTCACCTGCCACACTGCGGCTGCTGGGGCCATACCTGTTGCCTGTCAGTGCCCAGAGCACCAGAGCAAGCCGGTTCCAGCACAGAACGCCTGTGCAGCCTGCACGCCACCCACAGGTGTGCATCGGCACTGGGCGCTCACCTGGGTCGTTCCTGGGCCCTGGTCTGTCACTATGTCCGTACAGTACCCTGGGCAGTGACTGATGGAACCACTTGGACCTCCTGGAGCTTCATGCGTGTGTGTGTGTGTGTGTGTGTGTGTGTGTGTGAGAGAGAGAGACATGCACGCAGTACCCTGGACCCAGGGTGAAGCCACACACTCCAGGACCAAGGAAGGCCCTGCTCCATCCTGAATGCCCGCCAGCCTCATCATGGGGGTGCCCTGTGCCCACAGTGCCGACCTGGCCTCCAGCGGGGCCTCTGGGGCTATGGGTGCCCCGTGCCCACAACCCTGCATGCCGACGTGTATGTCTGTGGGCAGCCGCCGCCTCGGCACTCCCAGCCCCCACCAAGAGAGTCCAAAGCCAAGTATTACAGACAATTCCTACACCCGGCTGCCCTGCCACCCCCACCCCAGGCGCCCGCAGTGCCTGGTGCACCATGGGGAGAGGAGCAGGTGCCAACCAGAAACCTCTCCTGCCCCTTCAAGACGGTGGCTCCCGGGTAACACGCTCTCCCCTGTCCCCAGTGCCCACCCACCCAGGCTTCACGGGCTGCTCAGGCACCAGCAGGGCCTAGTGAGGGCACCCGGGCAGGACTCCAGGGCAGGACGGCAGAGCCGCAGCCCCAGCCAGGTGAGGGCGAGCCGGCTGGGAAGCCCGCCCCTCCCTGCAGGTGCCCCCTGGTCCCGCGACTGCCAACTGCCGGGTGCAGGTCCACGCGAACGCCCGGGGCCCCCAGCGGACTCACGGCGGGGGCATCGATGGAGGTGTAGCGCAGGATGACCTGGAAGGGCTGGTGCGCCGGCAGCTCGGGCGGCAACGTGACAGTGAGCGAGGAGCCGTAGTCTGTGAACGGGTCCACCCGGAAGGCCAGCG